TTTTTGAGACTGAGTTTTGCTCTTGTTGCCCAGGCTGGAGTGCAATGGTGCCATCTCGGCTCACTGCAACCCTCTGCCTCCTGGGTTCAAGTGCTTCTAAATATGTTTAAAAACAAAACATCTTATTTACAATAAAGATATCTGTATTTTGAAAAAATAAGTACCCTGCAGAAAATAACAAATTGCAAACGATAATATATTTTTTTTTCTCCAGCCCAGTGCTGCAGACCTAAAGATCCAATGTTTACATCTTCCCTGGAAGTCACAAAAATATGTTAAACGCAACGCATTCAAATTGAAATTACCCTCTTCCCCCAAACCTGGTTCTCTTCCAGTGTCCTCCATATCTCAATGATGGCATTATTATCCACCCACTGGGTCTGCTAGAAATTCTGAGTCATCTGACTCCTCCCTCTCCCTCAGTCCCCATCCCATCCCATGATATTTGAATCCATCACCAAGACCTCCCACTTTACTTCCTATTGTTCCATTTCCCCGACTTCTGTCCATCTCCTTGTTCCTACCCCAATCCACTTAGATGCCTACCAACACTAACACCACTCATAGATTTAATTAATCCAGTGTTGACTCTGCTTGTGTTCCCACACTGCAGCTGGAATGACCTTTTCAAAACACAGATCTGATCATGTCAAATACCCTCCCCCTCTCTTTTTAAGATTACAGTTCTTAATATGGCCAATAAGACTCTGCTTGGTCTGGTCTCCAGCTTCAAACTGGTGCACTTTCTCCCTGCAACCTAGGCTCTAGCCACAATAGCCTCCTTTCAGTCCCTCAGGCTTGCAGTGTTCCCTCCTGACAAAAAGGCTTTACACATGATATTCCCTCTGTGTCCCACTCTCCCTTTTTCAGTTTCTCATCTTTCATGCTAGTGTGACTTCCTCAAAGAAGCCTTACCTAACCTCTCTGACCAGACCAATGAATGCCACTTATGTAAGTTCTCATAGCACCTAGATAAATTCAACCTATTTGTTAAACTAGACCATTTAAAACTCCATTGGTTAGAGCAATTTGTTTCCTCTCTCCAAGTATTCTCTGCTGTTCTTCTCTGTTGTTCTTTGGATTTCACTTCTTTAAACCATATCCCAGAACAATTTCAGCGTTAGCAGAGGGTAACTCTTGACATTTGGACTCTGCTAAAGCAGCATCTTCACTGGCTTTCCCACATCCTCTCCGGCTGCTGTTTTCTTATCATTTTCCAATACCATGAACATTAGCCTCTATCACAGCACTTATATAGTCTTAGTCTGCATTGTATTTTTTTTTTTTTAAGGTTTCTCTCACTAGTGTCAGCTGCTTTAGGACAAATGGTTTATTTATCTCTGTATCCTCAGCACTTAACATGGGGCCTTGTCAATAAATATTTGGAACCACGCTGTAGCCTGAAGTCCAGCCACAATAGCGTGTATGTTGATTTCTCTGCTTGTAATGTCTTTCCCTCACTTTATTTGCTTGATGAACTCTTCTGTAAAGGATATAAAGGAGGCAATGGTTTAGTGTTACCTTCAACAGTGTACATAATCTTTCTACATTTGTTTCCTCATTTGAAAAATGATACTATACTTAAAAGGTTGTTGGGAGGATTAAAAGAGTTAATGGTTAAATACTTATCTCCATTCTTTTGCCAGGTCAGATCTCTACTCTTGGTAGAGCAATTGCCTAGGGAATTTTATCTCAGGATTAGGTGTTTGGAATCTCGTGCATCCAACCGGCTCTTCTCTGTCCCCTCGCTACCCTTTTTTTTTTTTTAGAGGTGGGGTATCGCTTGGTAGCCCAGGCTGGAGTACAGACATTGATGGCTCAGTTGAAACCAGAGGACACATTATTGGCAAGTGGAAAGCCATTCTTCCCAGTCTTCTTAGGAAAGGAAATCTTTCTGAGGTGAGATGTATTTGTAAAACTGCACAGGACTTTAATACTTTGCAACAGCAAAGATTGAAAAACAAAATGGCTAAATTTCCATATCAAAACAGGTGAAATGTTTCTGTTCATTTTCTTCTACATTTGGAAAGTGCCTGATCCACAGTAACACACTAAGCTGTAGTTCCCTTCCCCTCAGCCTTTCAAGTGTACAGAACTGTAACTAAATATTTAGGCAATTAGGGCAAGCAAATTCCACAGTGAATTACGTGGTAGCCTCTAGTATAAATTTTCTTACCACCCAGACAATGTTCAGCTTCTTCTCTTGACAACCTGTTTGCATTGTCAAAGTTTAAATGTAACATATTAAAATTATTATACTCTTTAAAAATCATCGGAACTTTTTTTGTGTATGTAAATACAAAAAAATCATGAAAAATGTTTGCACATGGGGTAAAGCACATAAATGGGGTAAAGCATGATAAAAACCTTCGCTGAAGTTTCCCTGCTCACACATTACTGTGTGCACGTCTAGTATTTTTCTCATTCAGGTATCATGTTATTTGTCTTTTCCAGTTGAGGAGGAAACTTAATACCGTTTAGGCAGCGTTTCAAATCCGAGTCAAATACAGCCTGGGTGGTTTTTTGTGGGTCCACTTATCAGGACCTGTCAAGAGTGTTCTTGGGGTTAAGAGTTCTAAGATAGAAAACTCAGCTTATGCTGTTACCCGCAGGTTTTAAAGCAACATGATATGGCGTTTGAAGCTTACCTCACACCGGTGAGGTAAGCATCCAGTCATCAAATGACCCTTTTTGACGTCCATGACTGACAGAGACTCAAGCACTCCTGGGGGCCAGGCTGACTTTTCTCCACTGGCTTGGTTGGGAACTGGCTTCTTCGGAGCTGTGTACTCTTAACTTGCTCTGCTGCCGGCTGGCTGACAGCCGATGGGGGACTCCTCAGGACGGACTCCCTTCCAGATGCACCCATCTCCATCCTCAACTTCCCAACCTTTGTCCTCCCCACTCTTCGCTCGCGCGGCGGTCTGAGACCACCAGGACCAGTTTCAGTGGTTTCCTTCTCCAGCGAGACGGCAGAACAGGCTTTAAAAGGAAAGCAGGCAGCGGAAGAGTAAGAAATAACTATATTCTAAGAGTAATAATAAATTGCAGTACATGACTGCCACACGACAACGGGCAGCCTACGCTGGCTGCGGAGGCCACAAACACAAGCTCCTAACCTCTCGCCCGACCCGCCCCAACAACTGCCAGCCCCGGGTAGGGTCACGTGACAGGGGAGCGGCGCGCTCCGGCCGCGGCGCCAATTGGCGAGCGGCGGGAGCGCGGGGTTTGATGGGAAGGAGTTGGCTGGGCCTGTCTCTCTGTCAGTGGCGGCTGCTGCTTGTTCTGGAGGCAGGCTGCGCGGTGGCGGCCGAGACTGGCGGGGGTGGACGCCCGGGCCGGGCTGCGCCCGCTTCTTGCAGGTAAAACGCTCAAGGCGAGGGCAGTTGGGGGGGCTCTGCATGGGGAGGCATGCTGAGCTGTGCCCCTGGGAAATAAGCTGCGGGTTCCCCGCTTGCCTCTCCTTGGTGCCCCCGCCTCCTGCCAAGTGGCCTAGAGCTCTGCGGCGGCTGCTGGTCAGGCTGCGCGGTGGTGCGCGCTGACCCAGGCTCGCCGCCTTGTTCCCTGGATTTCCCAGCACACTGGCAGTGGTGGTGCTGGAGTCTCGAAAGCCTTTTTTCCCCTCTAGGGCTGGTAGTTTCTCCAGCTTGATTCTGGGAGATTCCAGGTAGTGACTGGCTTGAGCCCCAGCTCTTTGGCCCACCTGTGTCGAGCTTACCTCGACACAGGTGGGGCAAAGAGGTCAGAAGGTCCCAAACTAGCATTTCCTACGCTCAGCTATCCGCTTTGAGCGTTTTGTCCGCGTCTTCTTTTTCTGAGTTGTGTGGAGGCTCCAAGAGTTGGAAAGACCAGAAGGGACTGAAAACTGTCAGTGTCATGCTGCCGGGCTCTAGCGTGTGGGCGTGGAGTACGTGCTACTTAGAGAAGAGGCTCTCCAACCATTGTCCTTATTCCAGGGATGGTGGGCTGTGGGGCGGACGGGAAGGGCGAAGATGCATAGTATCAGAGGCGTGGCAGGAGGAGAAAAACAAATCTAAATTCCATCAGTTCATAGTTGCGGATTGAGAAAGAGTTGGAATTGGTCAACTCAGCTTTGCTGATGGTGCTCTCACAGTGCTAAGCAAGACCCGTGAGTCACTGAGTTTTCCATGTTCTGCTTTTCCCGCTTGGCCTCCAGTGTGTGTTGCTTGGTGTCTACTGTTTTCTTGGGTGTCAGCATTGACAAAATGGACTCTATTCAACAACGGTTTGGTGGGTGTGAGTAAGCTTGGTTTCAGGAATATGTTCAAACTGGCAGGGAATGCTAATCTCTTTTCCTCAGCAGCCCCCAGAAGACCAAGTTGACTTTTAACACATTTTCTTAAACAGGAGTGGTGCGTTTAAAATTAGAATTTTAAGGTTTTCTGTTATCTATTGAGATCAGCTCAGTAATGCTGTTAATAAACCTATATAGTGTTTATATATTATAACATATAAACAAGAAAATACAAGAAAAGGAGGAGTTATATGGCTATTAAAAAGATATGATTTCATATAGAAATATTTATAATCAAATAGTAATTTTTTGGTGGTATTTAGTTCAGATGAAAATTGACTTACCATGAAAGCAAGCACTTAATCATTATATATTAAGAGGGTTTAATATATAATAGAGATGTACTTCTTTTCATTAATTTTTTTTTGAGGAGCAATAAATGTGGCTTGGGCTATTTCAGAATTGTCTTTTCAGTTAGGACATTTGGAAGTTAGAGTTCTAGAACAAATCACCTTTACTCTTCAATTGTATAGTACAGTATGTTATGGAGGTACTGTTGATGGTGATTAAATAGCTTATATTTAACTTTGGAATTTGATAAACTTAAAACTTCCTTTGCTGTTTTCTTCAAAGGCCTACAAGATTATTTAATGGCAGAGTCTACAGAATTTTTTGCTCTATTTCTTATACTAGAGAAAATGACAGCAATCTATTTTAGTAAAAATACAAACTGTGATATAATTTTCCAATTTTAGAATTATGAAATAAGTGCTTTCTTTATAAGAAGTTGGAAAGAAATGTGTTCCATATAAATACTAGGTGTGTTTTCTGGTAATAATAATGGCTACAATTTATTAAGCAGTTACTATGTGTTGTACACTGTGCCAAATGATACATAATTTCATTTAATTTATACAACAATTCTGTGAAGTGTAGATATTTTTACCATTTTGCAGATGCAATAACTGAGACTTGGAGAGTTTAAGTAATCTGCCCAAGACTGCATAGCTAGTAAGTGATTGAGCCATATTTTGAATCCAGATCTGTTTTATTACATTATTTTAATGTGTCTTGGAGTGAGGTGAAAATTTAAGAAAAACATTTCCCAAGATTTAAAATTCTGACACCCAAACCTGAGTGTAAATAGCCATTAGTAGAAAACATTCAAATAAGGTGGTCGACATTATTGTTCATTGAAAAACACATTTAGGTTGGATGGGGTTGCTCACGCCTGTAATCTCAGCACTTTGCGAGGCCAAGGCAGGCGGATCACTTGAGGTCATGAGTTCGAGACCAGCCAGGGCAACATGGTGAAACCCTGTCTCTACTAAAAACACAAAAATTAGCCGGGAATGGTGGCACACACCTGTAATCCCAGCTACATGGGAGGCTGAGGCAGGAGAATCACTTGAACCCAGGTGGCAGTGGTTGCAGTGAGCTGAGATTAGGCCGCTGCACTCCAGCCTGGGCAACAGACAGAGTGAGACTCAGTCTCAACAAAAAGAAAAACACACTTAGATGCACCCATCTCTTAAGGTCATGACAGGTCCTGTTGTGGTATCAGACCAGAGTGGAAAGAAACGCTCTGTACATGTTCATGGGAGAGTTCTTGGAGAAAAGTCAGTTGAGGTTGAACCATCTGTCCAATCCAGGACAAGTGAACTGATTTATGCCTCAGAAGGAAATGCAAGGGTTATTTATTCGGTTCCCATATATTTTCCATGTATTTGAAAGAAAGGAGAGATGGATTAGAAAATAGCAACAACCACAGCAGTAAAAACAGTTTGTATTGAGCAATCACTGTGTGCCAAGCACTGTTGTAAATAGTTTAGAATACATTATGTCATTTAAGTCTTTCAACATTTAAGAGGGTCCTTAACTATCCTTCTTTTACTGATGAGGAAATTGAGTAGCAGATAGGTTAAGTAACTGATATGTCCAAAATTGCACAGTAAGTGGTGGGCCACAGGACTTGGAGTTAAGATATTTGCGTGGAAAGGAGAGAACCAGTGGTTGAATACAGAAGAGGTCTGAAATTAAAGCTATGGAGCAATATTTGATTTAATAGTTTAATTTTGTTATGTTTTCACGTCTGTTAGAAAGTACCACTTATTACATGTGCATTACAGTAAATCAGTTCCTTTAATATTGGAATTTGATAGAAAAATTGCTAGTGCAGGTTGACCGTTTCTTTGATTATGAACCTGAAAGCCTGGATATGGCATTTAATGACTGTCACTCTAATATTGTTTTAGAGTACAAATTTAACAGCATAATCCCTTGCTTCTGGGGTCTTAGAGGCTAAGATGTAGATTGTTTCATTAATACCAAAACAATTCTTTAAGCAAATAATTGTCAAAATTGGTATAGTGATATTATGCATGTATTTCATATTGTACTTACTTTAAAATTGATATGCAGTAAACAAGTAAAGGGTGTGCTTGCAGACTTCTAGTACCAGTTCTGTCCCTAGCTGGAGCTACATGATTTTGCAAATCATTTAACTTCTCTTTAATGCAGATTTAAACACTCAAATGTAATCAAATAAAGGAATTGGGTTACACGATACATTGTACTAATACTGTTTCGTGTGCTTATTACTCACTTTTCAAATCAGTAGATTTGTTTACCAACTATTTGATAATGTCAGAGGTGCTTTCATATATTTTACATATAAATATTCCAATCTAATCTATACAAAGCAGACTTTATTTCTGATTTTGTGTTATTGGTAATAGCTGGGTGCTTAAAAAATCAAAACTAAAATACTATGTTTGGCTCTGCTGCTTACTGTCTTTGGGATATTACTTAGCACACTACTTCACTTCTCTTAGATTTCTCATTTTTAAAATGGAGGGATAGTAGTATCTAAATGCTAAAATTAATATAAAGCATTTGGGCTGGGCGTGGTGGCTCACGCCTATAATCCCCAGCACTTTGAGAGACCAAGGTGGGCAGATCACTTGAGGCCAGGAGTTCGAGACCAACCTGGCCAACAAGGTGAAATCCCTGTCTCTACCAAAAAAAAAAAAAAAAAAAAAAATTAGCCGGGTGTGGTGGCGCGTGCCTGTAGTCCCAGCTACGCCTTTGGAGACTGAGGTGGGAGAATTGCTTTAACCCTGGAGATGGAGGTTGTAGTGAGCCAAGATCTCACCACTGCACTCCAGCCTGGGTGTCATTGAGACTCTGTCTCAAAAAGAAAATGTATACACACACACACACACACACACACACAGCATTTGTTTTAGGGCCGCTAGAAATGAAGTACTAAGTGTTTAACTGATACTGTTGTTTGATATTGTTGTTGTCATTAGTTTCAAATATTAAAAATTCTGATCATAGTCTCAGTGTGTGATGGTTACAAACTTGACATTGAAGGATGTAATTCTACTTCAAAATATGTAGGTTGGTTGTGTACAGAACACTGCTAGACACCATACACTAGTTCCAGAATAGTGGAATGATGTGTATTTTGAGAATAACAAGTGATTCATATGAATCTACTCCCTCCACCCACCTTTTTGGTAATTATTTTTAGCATCTCAAGAGGGTTTTTAGATTTACTTACTGTCATGATTCAGATAGAAATTTATAGTTTAATTCATGAAAGTTCCTGGATTTTCTACAACCACATTTTAGAAAATACTAAATGATTAATAACATTTAGCTTGCAACTTAAATATGACTTGAAACATTCATTATAGTTATAAACTTTAGAGTTTTTCAGGACAGATTATAGGTGTTTCTGTCCTTAAAAATTACTTTGTGAGTAAAAGTATTTTACAGTTAAGCTCTTTGTTACTTTTCTAAGAAACTCCAAGATAGCTATGCCTTATGCTAGTTATGGTATATAAATAATTTTGCGGAGTGAGTGTTTTTACTTGATACTGGTATTATTTTGTGTTTACATTTACAGTTAAAAAATGTGAGAAATATGACATAGGTAACCTTTTTGGGGGTGGAAAAGAAGTAGTTTTATACATTGGCAAGTATCTAACTGTAACCTGGTTAAAATATGTCAGTTTGAAATTATACTTTTAACAATTCAACTTAAAAGAATAAAAATTTACATAATCGTTGTCCAGTAAGTTGATTTAGAATATAATATTGTTGAGTCTGTTATAAAACATTTGAGAGTCATAGAAAAACAACTAAAAGAAGTGGTTATAGAGCTAGCTGAATTGAAGGTCAACTAGCTTCAGGGACTTGTACACAATGTTAGGGAGAAATGTTTATTTGGGCATTGAACAGTAGTGTTTAGTAATAGAGGCTAGAAATCTGAAGATAAAGGGACTCTAGGCCATATTTCTTCTGAGCTATTGGACAAATCACTAAACCTCTTTTCACTTAGTTTTCTTATCTGTGAGATGGTAATACTAAAGACTATCCTATGAGAAAGTGGTGGTATTATTAACTGTAATTTAGAGAAAAGAAAATTAAGGCTCAGAATCATTAAGTGATTTGCTAAAGGTCACAGATAGCCTTGTAATCCTTATTTTCTTATTAATAACTTGGTTGTGGCTTTCTCTTATTACTTGTAAGGTTATATTCTAAACATTGTAAAACACTCCTACTCCAGATAACTAGTTTAGTTGGGAGACTGCTGGATGGTAGAAATGATTTTATTTAAGTATATAGTATGAAAGTAGTATGGTAAAACTTTGTTCCCAGAACAACATAGAGAACATATTTTAAAGAATAGAAAATAGCAAAGTGGTAAGAATATACATTTCTAAACTTCATTGTCATTTGAAAAGCTTTTCAAACTTTATTTTCACTTTTAAATCTGTTCTGGTTTTGAAGAATGGATTTTTAAAAGGTGGACTTGGCAGTGTGCGATGACTCACGCCTGTAATCCCAGCACTTTGGGAGGCCGAGGTGGGCAGATCACTTGAGGCCAGGAGTTCAAGACCAGCCTGGCCAACATAGCAAAACTCTGTCTCTATCAAGAATATAAAATTAGCCAGGCGTAGTGGTGCACACCTGTAGTCCCAGCTACTCAGGAGGGTGAGGCACAAGAATCGCTTAACCTGGGAGGCGGAAGTTGCAATGAGGTGAGATCTCGCCTCTGCACTCTAGCGTGGGCAACACAGAGAGACTCCATCTCAAAAAATAGTAATAATAAAAAAAGATAGACTCTATCCCAATAACTGTCTGATATCAAATTCCATATATGTGGAGTCCAAAGAAATTAATATTTCATAACATTTTTTAGGCAGTATTGCAACATCTGTAGTGGGTATGCTGTGTGTTTAACTTAACATTTTAAATATTTGCTTTATTTCTAGCTGTGAATTCCTTTGAACAATTGATGATATTTATCATTGTGCCCAGTTTCTACAAATAAAAGATGGGTGGATTATTTTCTCGATGGAGGGTAAGGTACTTTTCTTTACAGCTAGTTCTTGAGTCTAATATAAAAGTGTCACATAAAGCTATTTGTGAAAGTCTCCTTTCATTATAGCCCTGAATAGTAGTTTGCTGTTTTCCTTAACTTTTTTTCTTCTCTTTTGAATTACTTTTCTATTTTTTATTTTGATACTTCCACTTGTTCTGTAGGTGTCCAATGTCTCTGTGTAACAGAATTATTTCATTTGGATGTATGAATTATTTTTATTTCTGTATTTCTGTATTTGTGTGCAAATGGCTATCTTGTTTTCTTATACTTCCTAAGTTTCAAGCTTATTTGAAAGGTAGTTGAAAATAAGTACTCTAGGCCGGGTGCGGTGGCTCACGCCTGTAATCCCAACACTTTGGGAGGCCGAGGTGGGCAGATCATGAGTTCAGGAGTTCGAGACCAGCTTGGCCAACATGTTGAAACCCTGTCTCCACTAAAAATGCAAAAATTAGCTCGGCGTAGTGGTGTGAACCTATAATCTCAGCTACTCGGGAGGCTGAGGCAGGAGAATGAACCCAGGAGGCAGAGGTTGCAGTGAGCCGAGATCGTGCCACTGCACTCCAGCCTGGGTGACAGAGCAAGACTCTGTCTCAAAAAAAAGAAAAAAAAGTATTCTATACAATATTTGTTTCTTACACACTGTATCTTTTTACTTGAAGCTTATCATAAATATTGACTAAAGTCACACTACATGTGCTTTTAGAATTTATAGGTTAAACAAAATTAGAAATTCAGTTTGATTTTATTGGATAAGCTTTTAGAGGAAGTATCTCAAAGTTACAGCTCGAAAATATGAATTGTATAAATTATATAAGCCCGTCTCTACTAAAAATACAGAAATTAGCTGGGCGTGGTGGTGGGCGCCTGTAATCCCAGCTACTTGGGAGGCTGAGGCAGGATCGCTTGAACCCAGAAGATGAAGGTTGCAGTGAGCCGAGATTTTGCCACTGCACTCCAGCCTGGGCGACAGAGCTAGACTCTGTCTCAAATAAAAGAAAACAAAATTATATAAATGCTTTTTTCAAATGTAAGAGGAGATAAGGTAGTCTAGGATAAACTACTTATTTTTTTTTTCTCCTTACTACCATAATAATAGAGTCTAACTATACTTGGTACATAACTTAGGTTTTGGGCTGTTGCTGGAACAGCCTTGTTTTGGATCAGCATTATATTGACCCTGTTATGACCTTTTAATAATCTGCCCAAGGATCAAATTTATCTCTTCTTGCTTTGTCTTTCATATTAGGTTGAACCATATGAAATTGCCAGTATTCAACTGCTTGGGCTTAGCAAAATGTCAATTTCATATGGTTAACTCTAATGTTAACAACTCTTATGGGAACTACAATGACCTGATATTCATTACCCTCTTGGATTGTTGAGTATGTAATTGGTAAATATTTTTTCAAGTGTTTTATGAGTGATTTTGGCTGATTTTTATTCTAGATGTATAAAAAATACCTTTGGCAAACAAGCTTTGCTATAATGAAGTATTCTTAGATGTCCTTTTAAAATCTGATCTTCAAAAAGTACTTTAGGAATTTAGAATGAAGGTAGCCTGTTGATTTTGACCTCCAGAGTCTTAAGTGAACTTTTAGCAATAGCCAATCAGACTATTTTTAGTCTGTAAATTTTTTTAATGTGTTAATTCTTTTGAGTAATCATTCCTAAGGAATTTTTTTGGAGGAAAATGTGCGGTTTTTTAATTTTTTAATTTAATTAAAAAATTTTTTTGAGATGCAGTCTTTCTCTGTCACCCAGGCTAGAGTGCAGTGGTGCGATCTCAGCTCACTGCAATGTCTGGCTCCCGGGTTCAAGCAAATCTCGTGCCTGAGCCTCCTGAGTAGCTGGGATTACAAGCGCATGCCACCACGCCCAGCTAATTTTTGGATTTTTAGTAGAGATGGCGTTTCACCATGTTGACCAGGTTGGTCTCAAACTCCTGACCCTAAGTGATCCGCTCACCTTGGCCTCCCAAAGTGCAGGCGCGAGCCACCGTACCTGGCCAAAATTTGTTTCTTTCTATAACAGTGTGTTTTATTGAGGTTAAGAATGGTAAAAATTGAGCCATCAGAATTCAGTCTTTCTAGGATTAAAAAAAGTTAAGTAGGGAAATGCTTATTTCTTTACTCTTATGTAGTTCTGTTTGCAATTATAATTTTTATTTAAGTAAATCTTAGTTATAAACAAGAATACATATTTGCCTGATAACATTTGAGAAAATTCAATTTTGAAATAAATGTTCTTTAATGATTATATCAAAACGTAAAAGTTTGTGATACGTTTTAATGCTGTCTCTTGTTTCTGTTTCTATAACAGACAAAACCTTCAACTGTAGAAGTTCTAGAAAGTATAGATAAGGTATGTTCTTTGGCTGTAAGGTATTTTAATTCATTTTAGGTATTAAATAAATATTATTGTAGTATATATTATTTTGGAGACCAAATCTATTATGGGAATTGAGAAATGATATAGAGTGAGTCTGAGAACTTTAATGTTATGTGACCGCAAAAAAATCTAAAGTCTATCAGTGACTTAAGAAGTCTGTTTCAAGTAATAGAGCCAGTTAGAATGAAATTAGATCTGTAGTGTGGTGTAAATAAATGTTACAGGTAGGACAAAATAGATGAGATACTATATAATAGTTTTTATCAGTCTACAAAATTTTCACAGCTTTTTATATAGTATAAAAAATGATTTTCTGGGAATATGGAGAGTGATAAATAGATGGGTTACTGTTTTAATTTTTATTCTTTTTCTTATTGCCAGATTTTTAAAATGCCTTTTATAGGAGGAATTATTACTTGTTTGACTCAACAAATATTGCTGATACCAATTTCATTCCCTGAATCTTTGCCAATTTGATAGTTTAAAAATAGTAATTAATTTTGCATTGTAAAATTGCTTTGTTAGAATAAGCATTATAAATTTTTAACTTCAGTTTTAGTTTTCTTTTCCATATTATGTTCTGTTTTAAACGGTTAGGGTATTATGCTTTATTGAACTTTAAATAAGAGTTTTTTCTTAAATATCTTTCCTGTTAACATTTTTTAACATTTTAATTTCTTTATGAAGTTTGAAATTTACTAACAGGGAATAATTTTCTCTTAACAGGAAATTCAAGCATTGGAAGAATTTAGGGAAAAAAATCAGAGATTACAAAAATTATGGGTTGGAAGATTAATTCTGTATTCCTCAGTTCTCTATCTGTTTACATGCTTAATTGTATATTTGTGGTATCTTCCTGATGAATTTACAGCAAGACTTGCCATGACACTCCCATTTTTTGCTTTTCCATTGATGTAAGTAAATTATTCTTTTTGTTGATCTTTTCCTTTTCTGACTAGAGAGTCTTAATGTATATCTAGTATATATATTCAGTCTTTTTATTATTAAATGGTAATATCTGATTGAGTTTGAATTTCTTTCACAATTTGAAAAGATTTTTTAAAAATAGTAGAACAATTGTTTTAAACCTTCATTTGTAATCCAATATACCTGAGGAGTATTACCTAGTAATATGAGTAATAATTGCTCTATATGGCAATGTTTTATGATTTTCTAGTAGATGACCATGCTCCCCTAGGGGCATTGGGCGTGGAGTAGGGGGTAATGGCAAGTGGGGCAGGGTTTGTAAAACCAAAAGAATAACTGCTCAAATTATTCTGAATGTATTCCATTCACCCCAACTCTCTTTCCTTCTTTTTACTGCTGTATAGTCACTGCTATAAAGCAACTGACCCTTATTTTAGAAATATTTTATAATATAGCACTGTATAGGAGGTATATCATGACTGAGAATTTTGGGAGACAATTTGATAAAAAGTTTGTTTTTTCAGTCAACAAGTATTTATGGGTACCAATTGTTTAGACATTGGATTATAATGGTGTATGGTACATAAAAATACAAAACTCTCTGACTGTATATCTTAGACTGCAAACATTAAGTAATGAGTATGATGAATGTTATAAAAGAGAAGTGTAAAATGCTATGGGAGCATTTAATAGGGGCATTGCCTCAGTCTGGGTACTACTATAAAAAATGTGTTTGTTTAGTCTTTAGTGCAGGGCATATTTTCAAATTGGAACTCCTGAAGCTTGTAAAATTATAAGTTTGTATGTAGCTACAAGAGCTGAAATTGAGTGCTTTCATAATATTGCAAAATAATTGTCCCTGCTAATTTCTTTGTTTTCACGTTTTGAAATCTTTTGGAATGCTTTTATCCCAGTAGTAGTGGATTTTATAATTGTGAGCCCCTTTTCCTTGTTTCCCTTATACTTTTTTCATAAGAGGAGAGAAAAGCAATTTACAAAGTAGAATGAGATGTTTAGTTGATTTAAGTACTTTTAAACACTCAGAAATGCACTTTACATCTATTTCCATATAAAGATTAATTTTTTTGATCATAAAAGACTTGTATCTAGTTGTAACGGAATGTCTGATAGGGAACTCTACTGTGTTAATTATAATGGCTATCCAAAAAACTATGATTTAGATTTGCTATTATGATTCATAAAAGTTTTTTGGGGGGCAAATAAATTGTATACTAATTGTTCTTTAGAAGCAGGAAAACTTTATTTCTTTAAAAAATGTAATTTCTTCAATTCAATCTTTCTGATACTTTGGGTATGAAGCTTTCTAATCCTTACTGTGTCGCTCTGATTTTTCTGCATCACCTGCATCTAGTATATCTTGGCTTGTTTAGCTTCATAGCCATTTTTCACTTTGTCTCATTGATATTTGTGACCTCGTTCTCAACTGTAGTAGCTTCTATTTTAGTGAGCTTTTCACTTTTTGAAGCAAAGACTGGTTATCCAACAAAGAATAACATTGTCCTTCTGATCGATGACAATCAAAAAAGCATGAAATAAAGCACAATTTGAAAGTGGATGTGGTAAAAAGAAAGAAGACTTAATACAGGACATTTTCTTATGTGTGTAACATGAATTGTTGCCTTTTGTGTGCAATGTGAGCTTATCCCTGGACTTTTTTCTTTGGGAAACAGTGTCTTAGTTTGTTAGTGTTGCTATAAAGGAATACCTGAGGCTGGGTAGTTTATGAAGAAATGAGGTTTATTTGGCTCATGGTTCTGTTGACTGTGCAAGAAGTATGGCACCAGCATCTGCATCTGGTGAGGGCCTCAGGCTGCTTCACTCCTGGCGGAAGGTGACGGGGGGACAGCATATGCAGAGATCACTTGGTGAGAGAGAAAGCAAGAGATAGGGGAGGTGCCAGTTTCTTTTTAACAACCAGCTCTCTCAGGAACTAATAGAGGGCAAACTCTCACAATGCCCTAGGGAGGACATTCATCTGTTCATGAGATCCGCCCCCGTGACCCAAACACCTCCCATTAGGCCCCACCTCCAACACTGGGGGACAAATTTCAATATGAGGTTTGGAGGATCAAATATCTAAATTATAGCAAACAGTTTTGAGGTCTGGACTCGGATTTACTTAAAGACTTAGAGGCAAAAGGGACAATAAAGTATGTTGTTTTGCTCGACACTGTCTACATTGATTATATAGTTTAGAAATCTACCTGATATCTGTAAAAAGTGACTGCTGTCTACACATTCCCAGTTTCCCAAATGCTTTTACTGGAAAGGTCATGGATCAGGACTGAGCATATATTGTATAACTATTCCAAAATTATTCTTTATGGTAGAATATCAATACTCTATATAACATCCTTTGAAATTTATTATATTTTTACTTCAGAATGTAATATGGAGGAGTTTAGTATAATTCCACTTGTTGTTTTTCTGCCTTTCAGATTCAACAGTATATTTATCTCCCTCTGATCTTTTCAAGTATTACTGAAACTTAAATCATAATATAAGTGCTGAATTTATTTTGTAGGAGTCATTAAGACTACACACCATATTGAGGGAAGGTTTGAGTTACGTAAAGTTAAAATTTTGTATTTCTGCATTATTCTGGCAAATATGCATTACCTTGGGAGTTGGTTCATTTTCTAAGTCAGCAACCATTAAGTTTTGTTTCTGTGTTAACTAATGCTACAAGCAATCTTGTAGACTTTTACTTCTGGATACCTTACTTTTATAAATTTTAACTTTCTAGACATGTCATTCTCTGTAATTTTAGAGACTGATCATCATCCTGAGGTATTGACCTTCCCAAAGGAGTTAGCCATAATTTTCTTATTTGGTTTGTTTTTGCCTCTCAAAATGGGGTTGTTGGGGAAGAAATTTAAGCAAGGGAATTGAGGAAGGTGATCATATTCCTATTTCTCTTCTTGTATCTACACTTAAATTGAAAGCCATTTAAGGATAGGGATTTGTTCTTATATAATTTTCATGCCTCCTGTCTCTCCCCACAAGTAGCACATGTTAGATATTTCCTCAATCCAGCTAGGTTGACAAACATAATTTGTAACCTTTTGAAGAAAGTTAAATGTTTGTTTCATGATACACTAATAAGAATACAAGTGTATTTTAGCCAGGCGGGGTGGCTCACGCCTATAATCTCAGCACTTTGGGAGGCCAGGGTGGGTGGATCACGAGGTTAGGAGATCGGGACCATCCTGGCTAACACGGTAAAACCCTGTCTCTACTAAAAATACAAAAAATTAGCCCAGCATGGTGGTGGGCTCCTTAGTCCCAGCTACTCAGGAGGCTGAGGCAGGAGAATGGCATGAACCTTGGGAGGGAGAGCTTACAGTGAGCCGAGGTCAAGCCACTGCACTCCAACCTGGGCGACAGGCCCAGAAATAACCTCAAAAGGAATTTTTAGATAAGGCTTTTATATATAATAAAGAAGACATTTGTAAGGAAAAATGGTGTTGAGTTATATGCCCCCCCCAAAAAAAAACCAAAAGCAAGAAGTACTCAATTCTTATTTTTTACATCAAAATAAATCATTGTTACTATTTTGCCTAAACATGAAGGTAATTTTTGCTGAAGTCTTTGGTGGTTAAATAAGCTGACAAAGAAGTCGACATAGTTGTAAATATTAAGACCTGTATATCAATTCAACTTTAGCTTTTGTTTTTTTTTGTTTTGTTTTGTTTTGAGACAGAGTTTTTACTCTGTTGCCCAGGCTGGAGTGAAATGGTGAAATCTTGACTCACTACATCCTCTGCCTCCCAGGCTCAAGCTCTCGTGCCTCAGCCTCCTAAGTAGTGGGAATTATAGGCATTCACTACATTCCTGTCTAATTTTTGTGTGTTTTTTTGTTTGTTTGTTTTAGTAGAGATGGGGTGTCAGTATGTTGACCAGGTTGGTCTTGAACTCTTAGCCTCAAGTGATCTGCCCATCTCGGCCTCACAAAGTGTTGGTATTACAGGCATGAGCCACCATGCCCGGCTCATCGTTAGATTTATATATTGCTAAATCTCATCTAAAAACATTTTTATAAATTGGATAGGGCTTATGATACGGTTGTTTGAAAAAGAACACAAGTTTGGCAGAAAGGGCGAAAGAGGTAACAAAATAATGTTGTATAATATGAAGGTTGGTGAAAACCCACCAGGTTTATAGAATGTTAATTCTTTACCCAAAGTAAGGAAGGTTTAGTTATATTGATTGAATTGAGATATTCTGCTATATTTCAACTTTTAGCATTTTTAGTTTGAGTACAGTGAAACACTGAATATTGAGGTTTTAAAATGTTGAAGCTGTCCTCTGTGTGATTCTATTATATTGAAGTTCCAAGTATTTGCTGCTAGGACACATATTTTTTTAGTTCAAGTCATTAGATATTATTGAACAAAAATACATGCTGTAGTAATGTTCCAAGTAGCATTAATTTCATTCAGAAAAGAACAAATGCTTTGATGAATGTGAGTCAAAGAATTTTTATTTCTCAACTGATTGTATATATAAATGTAGTGATTTTCTATACCAATTTTATATTCAACTGCAATAATAGTCTTTTTGTTTCTAATAATTTTTTTGGTTGATTCTTTGAGAGTTTCCAAGTATGTAGTCATATAAACTGTAAATAGCAATAATTTTACCACCTCCTTTTGTTTCTTTCATTTGATATTTTTTCTTGTTAGATATTTTTGATTTTTTTTTTCTCCTGGCTAATTATGTTAGCTTAACAGGACAGTGTTGTAGAGAAAATAGTGGACATACTTGATGTGTTTTTTTGGGAATTTTTCTGATGTTTCACCATTGGGCATTATTCTGACTTTTGGATTGAGACAGATACATTTGATCATGTTAAGGAATTTTCTACCTATTCTTACTGTATTTAGTTTTTTTTTTTTTTTTTTTTTAAATCAAGAAAGGTTGTTGAATGTTGTTAAATACAATTCATTATCTATGGAGATTCCAT